TTTCTCGTGGAGGTACCTAGGGGGTATTCAAGGAAGGAGATAAATTAAGAAACAAAAGTAATCTAAGCCTGAGGGAATGAGTGCTTAGCCTAGAGAATGAGAAAGTTGAGAAGAGAAAATTAATCAGAAATTGATTAACTGGATCTTGAGGATATTTTAAATGAATGAAGCAATTGAGAAATAGAAAAAGATGACTGTGAAGTTTCAAGAATGCCTTTTTGGGACAATGATAAGGTCCTTTAAGGAAAACTGGTACAATATAGTTCATCGATGTGAAAACTGAAGCCAAGCAATGCATATGTTCTCCAAGAGTGATATGAATTTATTTCATTTTTATACATGTCAAAAATGAATCAGAAGCATAGGTTTTCCCTTTGATTTAATGTTATAACTCTTAATTTTGTTTTGCACACCTTTTAAAAGTTTATTTCTTCACTATTTCCAGATTCTTTCTTTTTAAAAGTTGTTTTGAGGAACTTTATGGAAACCATATAGAATCTCCCTCTAATGTATTTAATGCCCTTCTGGAGCGAGCATCTGATGTTCTGTCCACCTAGCATTTTCTCCGTCTCTATATTTTAGTACCACCCCCCTTAAGGTATCCCCCAACACCTCTTCATGGTTCTGGTAGAGCTGCCAATCATGGCCCCACATATATCTGGCTACAGTAATTGGGCAAAGGGGGTGAGTACATGTCCTAAACTGCTGATTAGATTTTCTGTTTCAGAAATTTGAACCTTGAATTGAGACCACAAGGTCAGAGAAAAGATAGTGCTGAGTCATCAGATGGAGGTAGCCTAGAAACTCTGTCACTGAAACTCTAGGTCAGTTTTAGTCTCTGACCTTCCAAAGGCTTGAGTGTTAACTTCTTCCTTCCTTTGATCCTGTGAGCTCCTCCATTGTTCTTCCAATAATTTCTAAAGCCCTTTTTTAAAAGTCCATTTTTATTGCTAATAAAGAAAGGATTAGATTGATATGCATCCATCGTGTCATATTCTTTTTCTCTTTATTTTTTAATTAATTAATTTACTTTTTAGGAGATGTGGTTTTGTTCTATCACCCAGGCTAGAGTGCAGTGGTGCAGTCATAGCTCACTGCACCCTTGAACTCCTGAGCTCATGAGATCCTCCTACCTCAGCCTCCCCAGTAGCTGGAACAACAGGCGTGCACCACCATGGCCCAGCTAATCTTTAAATTTTTTGTAAAGACTGGATCTTACTATGTTGCCCAAGCTGGTGGTCTCAAACCCCTGGCCTCAAGCAATCCTCCCACTGGGATTACAGGCATGAGCCACTGCACCTGGCCTCTTTTTCCCTTTTAACTTTTTATTACCTATTGGTAATTGCTTAGTGTTCTTTTAGGAACAAATATGATTTCCACTAAAAAATGATTTGTGATACAATTTATTTCTTTGTATGGATAGGAAAAGTAGTTTGTTGTCTTACTATGAAAACACCAATAGTTTATGGACATGGGTGATAATTTTATCCTCCTTCCAATCAGCCCCATTTCCACTACTATGTTTAATAGTGAGATATGGCAGACATCATGGAGGAAGCGTGAGCAGAAAATGTGTTTGAGCTTTTTTCATTTGCCCTGCATGTTCCAATAGTGTCACTTTCATTGATTTTTTGTTGTCTTCCTTATTATCAGTTATCAGCATACTTTTTTCTACCTAATATTAATACTTCAGTTTATAAGCTTTATTTTATATAAAATCATATTTGATGATTTATTTTAAATATATGATCCTATTTATGGTTGAGATCTCTTTTACAGTTAATGTTAAATGTAAAGGTATGTTTTACTAGAATGTACTTTGGGTGGATTATATTCACTACTGGTTCCAAATATGGGCTAATGTTGGGACTTTCAGGGTCTGCTTCTTCCATGAAAAATGGCATGGTTTTCATTGGCAGAAAGGAATTAGAAGAATGTCTAACTCTTTCAACAGGACATTCTGGAATTTGGCATGTTAGAGATGATGTTTATCAGGTTTTTGATGCCCTATGACTTCCTTTTAACTGGAACTGTGGAAATCTACAGCAATCTATTTATCTTTAATTCACGGAGGCAATATTCGTAGCATTGTTTTGTGGTTTAAAGTTAGTCTTGAACACTTTTTAAATAACACTATGAAGAGTAATTTTATATATGAAAGATCTCATGGCTTCCTAACTATATTTTTTTCTTTTTTTTTTCTTTGTGAGCAGTGGAAGATATGGCTTCCTAACTATAATAACTCAAATATTATAAATCAGATATTAGAGCTAATGCCTGATTGATTGCTTTTGCTCCATTTGTTCACACTATGTGTACAAATTAGCTTTTTTTGTTGGATGATTGGTTCTTTTTTTTTTAACTCTCAAAAATAATAACAGCGTTTGGTTAAAATTTTAACCATTCAACCTTTTGGGGACAGTTGGGAAAATCTGATAATAATCATACTTCCATCTTGTTATTGTTAGGATCGGAAGATATTATATACTCAAGAGGAACAAATCCATATTAAGAGAAAGGTATCAGGAAGTAGGCTTGGCTCACCACTGGCAAAGGGAATCGATTCTAAACTCCCCAGCATCAAAGCCCACTTTTTTCACGTTCATGTCTTAGAAAAAGTACAAGTCTCTTTCACATGGTTGAAGTTCCAAATGTTAGACCCATCCTTGGCATTGACAGATTTTAGTATAGTACTTCTAAAACTACACTGTCTTTTCTGTCTGTCTTAAGTGGTGTGCACTGTGCTTAGTCATTTATTGCAGTGACCCAACTGAGCCCGGTACAGCTGTTTGTATTTGCCCTGCAGTGGGAAGTGGACTGGGGCCATGTGATTAAGAAAGCCAGACTGGGGCGTCTTTTCACTTACAGATGTTTTAATGTGCTTAACATTATCCAATACTAGCAACTGAGATACTCTAAATACCACAGCAGGATCTGATTAGCTTTTTCAGATCACTGCCTTTATTTGCTGTTTGCAAAAAAGCTTAATCCAGTGCTAGAGATCAGGCTTCCTGCTGAGCCCTTGGGTAGTTTTCTCTCATTCTTTGTGTGCACAGTGGCAGGCATTAGTGAGAAGATTCCTCCTCCTCCTGAATTAAAGCTATAAAGTAGTAACTATAGTAGCAAAGGATAAAGAGAAGGAAAAAAACCCAAGGGAAAAAGGATGACTGTTTACTCATACTAAGTAGTTTCCCTTTTATATATAAAAAAAAGTGCTTTAATATGAATTCATAAATACTGACCTCACTGTCTCTTTAGTCAGTGCAAAGCTATTAAGTTTTATTAGGTTTTAGTTGTAACTACTTTGCGTGGATGTATGTTATGTTTTTCATTTTTATCACATTTAATCAAACTCAGTTTTACTAGAATTATACTTACTAGCCATAGTAGTGGCCTTGATTTCTCTCTTATTCTTTTCAGGATTGACACCTTTTTCACTCATAAGATTTCAAAAAGAACTGCCACCACCAGAAATAAAACCAAAAAAAAAAAAAGATAAATTCTAACTTTCTTCATTTCTGTGACATCCATTTGCTCACCCAAGATGAGAAATTATAATTCTGTGTAATTCACATTGTGCTTTACTATAAACTATAATGGTAGAGATGCTTTTTCTTGATTTTTAATAGGCTTATGAAATTAGACCATAGCTTTAACTATTTCAGTAACATTACCATAACCCTTGTCAGAAAAAAGAACAGTTCTTACTTTAGAAATTGTTTTGACATTCAGAACCTAGTAATTATATTTACCTCAAAAATATTTTCACAGATTTTTAAGTTTTCTAACCTTTTTGGAATAGCATATTTCAATAAGATATTAAGCTCTTTTGAGGAAAAACTTCTATAAACAAATGGTGATCTATGATGTCATATTTTATATTTTAGTTTTCTTTCTGGAAACAATAATTTTTAGGTGTTTAATAGGCATAAGGAATGTTTTTAGTGCAATAACTAAAAAAATCTTAACTATATAGAATGGATCTTCCCCTTATTTTGTAAATAGAGGAGATCTCATTTGCATTTGAGTGGGCACAATGAGGACAGGGCCAGGAGTCCCAAACCAGTGTTACTTTTTTCTAAGTATTCACAAATGATCCTAATTGTGTGTAGCCTCTGTATTTGTGTATGAAAAAGAGATTGATTTATATTGTGTGGGGTGCTTTAAGTTTTATATCTTTAAAGTTCATGATCATGTGACAAAAAAGTCCAGGCTCTGCATAAATCAGCCTGTATCAGAAAATTGTATGTTAAGAGCAGCTCTTTGCCTTCCCTCTTTTAATTTGCACTGGAATGAAAAGGGAATGTGTGTATGGGTGTGTGTATGTGTGTGTTCTACATCACATAAGTAAATAGGACAGCTATAGATTTCCTTTTTCTTTAGTATGGAAATATCCTTACAACGCTGTGTAGTGTTTACATTTTGATTGCATTTTTATCATAATCAGAGGCCACTCGAGGTGTAACTTAGCCCACAAAAGCGAGAAGTCCATAGTATTATCTTATAAATCGTATAATCTGAAACTTTGAAATAAATCAAGGTTAACAAGCTTCCTCACCACGGGCGCTTATTTTTGTATACTTTATATCATTCAAAAATATCATAATATTTCCTTATAATGTTAACTTGTTCCTGAACTGAAATTTATATTACATCTTACAAATTTCATGAAATACAAATACTTTTAACAGGTATAATATGTTGTATGTTAAAACATAATAAAGGGACTTTGCTTCTGTTTAGTTATGTGATTAACTAGTATCTCATACTAAAAGAATTTTACACTGCTATTTGACATGTGTAAGATAGGCTAGTCTGATGATTTTAGGTTGAAGTTTTGTAGTTTTGTCTAATCGTACAGTTTAGATGACTCATTTGGCATAGAGTTGGACCAAACTTTTATTTTACTAAGTTTCACTTTTAGCTAACTTACTTTTTAAAATCAATTCTATTTATAATCCATTAAAACTTTTTGTTTTGCAATCTTATTTTCATTATCTCTTTTTTTTTAGTTTTATTATCTTGCAACAAATTAACACTTAAAAATACAGTTTTTCCGCTATTTCCAGGGAAATAGTTTTACTATAACCTTCTGTCTCATTTCACTAGTAACTCATTTATTAAAGAAAGGAATTGCTGCAATAGTTAATTGCTACTTGGACACACCCCATTTTCTTTATTTAATAAAAACAAAAAGCTAATAGATTAGAGTATAGCCTCAACTTTTTGGAAACATGCAACTTTTCTGCTTTAAAATATAATTGGTTTCTTTGTTTCATGCATTAAAAACAAGGAGGAAAAGCTGAAGTCTGCCCAAGCCAGGTGTTTCTTGTTGGCAGCCTGCTCCCTAATGACTCTGCTCTCATGGAGCAGCTGCCTACTAGTCAGCTTTGTATGGCCTATTGTTGCTGCATACCCCTCGTTAATACACATGCTGCCCGGGGCAGACCCAGAGAATGACATCAACTTGCTTATCTTAGAAACCTACAAACCTGAGGCAGGGTGCTGAGGTTGTCTTGCATCTGCCTGGCCAACTAATTGTGAGCTTTCTGGCCTATGATTGGCTGTTATTCCACTCGGTAATAGGTTAAGCAAAGACATTGCTATTCCATCTGTTCAACCATTCATTGTTCTTCTTGCCTGCCTGGAAGTCTGCAGCTAAAATTGTGTTAAGGAGTTTACTGTGAAGCTGCTACAGAAACCAATGTCTTTGTATTTTCCTGCTAACGTGAGTATCTGTGCTACTTAATGCCTTGGAAGTTAAACTTTGCTAAATATTCAGAGTATGAATTTGAACTCTGTAAAAGATAGAAAGCACCTCAAATGAAAGCCTACAAATTATTACATAGTGTCAGCCTACCAGAAAATTCAATTATTTCTGTAAAATATGTCTGTGAAGCAGGTTTTTACATTTTTGTATTCTGGAGTTGTATAAATAATTACTTATAGCTTCAAGAACATTTGTAAGGCATTAAGCCTGGCATGTAATCATTTGGAGCTTAAGGACAAGTTATAAAAAAAAATCTGGTATTTTAATAGACAGTGATTTAGATTTTATCTTCTTATCAAATTTTCAGATTTCTTAAGATGTCACTGTCATATCTAGGTGCTGTTAACATGATGGTAAAATTTAATATAGATTTTTCCATTGTCTTAGAAGTCTAGCTAGAAGAGATGGACTGATACAGGTAGATATTTCAGCTATAGGTAGATGATGATTAAGCATTCAGTTGCTTTGTCAGCAATTTGAATATTCATGTACAGTTTCTAATTTCTTTTCTCCCTCCTGTTTTTTCCTTTGCATTAGTTTCAGATATTAGACTGAAGATGTCATTGCAAGAACTATTGCTTTCAAGAGTTCTGTAATGGGGAAGGGAAGAGACAAAGACTTAACATCTATCAGTTGGGAGGGAAAGAAAGAGCATAAAGGGTTAAAAAGAGGTTTTCATTTCTACCACATGCCCTATTGTGTGAACATATGCATAAGTCTATTGAAAGTTTTCAGAAGATGGGCAGGCCACCAGTTGCTGGTCTCCTGCAGTTCCAGTAGACATCTGTTGCCCCAGAGCATTAACCAATCTGTTCAAAGGGACATCCTTCCTTTGTTAGCTAGAGGGATGCAGACAACAGCACTCACTCAAATACAATGGTAATTAAATACACAGAGACTACAGCAGTAGGTATTTATTACATATTCATTATTTTATTTTCATTGTTCTCATAGTATTACCATTTGGATAACAACCAGAACCCACTTTTATGGCATTGTAACTTTACATTAAAACAAATAAATTAGTTTAACAAGTTTATGGTCTAATATTCCTGATTAATAGGAGGCTCTCTAGAATATTAAAAAAAAAATTACATCATTTGATATGAAGAATTATCCAAGTTATCTAATGAGAACTTCCAGAAAATCTCTTCACTAAATGGAAGAATTTTAGTGTATGTGATAAATTTCTAGTAAATAGCATAACATCCCAAACCTGCATTCAGCTAATATAAAGTTTCTTTTGACAATTAAAAGAATTAGTTACACTTTATCATCATCTACAAAATTAACATGAAGATTTAGTTCTTTTTTCAACAAGTAATATTATTTAATTTTTAGCTTGCTCTTAGCAAGAAAAATTGACTTTTCAATATAGTATGTGGAGGGAATCTATAGATCTATAATTCTAGAAAGCTGTTTTTAGATCATTATATTTTTGCCCAATACCTTTTGTATGCAGGAGTATGGTATGCCACTTATAATGGATCCCTAATATAAAGTTCAAAAATTAAGCTGTATTTCTTGGAATTTTTTGGTAACTATGGGACTGTAAACCGACCTATTTTGTGAAACTTGACTATGCTACTTCTTTGTGAAATGAGGAAAATTACCCTTGTTTAATATTTAGTTGTTTTAAGTTTAAGATGGTTTATATAAGTTTGCATTTGAGTAAATGCAAAACTTAAAATTCTAATAAATGGTTTAAAAATGAGAAGAAAAGTATTTTTCTATCTTACATGTAAATAGTACATTTTGTCATGTGACAGGCGTTTCTGTCTTCTTGAAAATTATGTTGATCGTTTTGAAGGTGCTGAACAAAAATAAAGATCATATACCATTCTTTTTCTGAAGTTTCTCATAATATTTTATTTCTCATAATAATTCCTGTGAGTTTTACATATTTCATTACATGAACAAATACTGCAGTCTATGAAAATATTTTACGTTTTTAAATCTTGAGCATTTAACTTTTTATGATTTCAAGATTTTGCCAAATTCTGGGTTGTTTTTAAGTGCTATATAAAGTCGGGGCAATCCTTTACTAATTACAAATGGGTAAGGAAGCATTCTAGAAATTAAAGTTTTAAAAACTGAATCTTTACGATTTACGTCAATACAAATCAGGTTATTTCAAATTTGTATTATGTGATAGAGAATACATATGTGGCCTGCCTAGAAATTAAACTCACTTGTCCTTATTTGTACTGTTTATTATTTAATCTCTTGCTTTATAGGAACTAAAAATCATTTAACTACTTGTTTAGTACAAGATGACATTGGATAACTTTCTCTGTCCTAACCAATGAAATCTAGGAGATGAAGAGATACCTGTCAGTATGCAAAAAGTTCAACAAGAATACTTTAAAACAAAAATTATTTGGCCTAACAAGACTGAATGTTAATTTTTAAAAAGTAGGTCAAGCTTACATTTACCCTTAGCATTAAAAGTCAACCTAATTATTGTAAACTTTTTATTTAAATATTATGTGCAAATTACATAAATTATCACAAGTTAAAGGTGTGTGGCATTCACTGAATACATTGGTGTATAAGTGAGTTTTGTGTAGTTTAATATAAAAAACAACTGATAATCTCAGTTTTTTCTCTCTCTTATGATTATAGCCATATCAAATTATATAATAGAGCAGACCTAGGTAGTGTCATCAACACTTTTTTAAAACATTAGATTGAAGATATAAATATATTTAAATAGTTTTTTAGAGTGATTAATTTTCAGTTTAAAAACTTTACAGTGTCTGCTTTTGTTTCTTTGAAAAATGTAAAAATTAAGAATAATTTCACTTATCCTTTAAGCAAAACATTTCATTCTAATGTTCCCCTCTGACTGTATTTTTCAAAGTATTCATCCTGATATAGTTAAAAAACAAAAACAAAACCCCCTACTGCTCTATATTAAAATAATATTTCCTAGTTCAGTTCAGAGATTTGGTCAGCAAGTCATTATCTTGAAGAATTATCTCACAACAGCACTTATGCAAAACCCAAACTTTTCAGGGGAGATCAAAAATGTTGCCCATTAAACGTACTTCCTGCAGTCAGAGCAGATTGTGGGGTTTACAGAACAATGATGTCGGAGCTTCCAGATTGGTTTGGCAGCTGCATTGTTCTCGGAGGGTAAACCAGACGCACTTAAGTCCCAGTCTCTTTTATAGGCTTTTGTTCATACCAAATTATTCTTTCACTGTGCTAGCATTCATGATGGCATGTTAAAGGAGTGCAGCTTAGCAACCAGCTTCTGGTTGCCAGGCAGCCCAGCTTCCAATAGGTTTTCCTTGTTTAAGATACTTTTGGTGGGAGCTCTACGAAGGCCACAGTGTGGATTTTTCTTTTAACTGTATCCCTTTATTAGGATGCTGTTGTGATTTGTTACTTGCATTATGGTGTTAGTATATTACAGTAGTTAATAAATCACAGGGTGTACAGATTTGCTTTCAAAATCCCTTCCTTCAATTCTAAGTAATTGGTCTCATGCATATCATACTAATAGGTAAAAAATTGAAATGTATACAGCTTCATGATGAGGCAGTGAATATAGAGCTCTCCTAAGGAATATTTCTTTTTAATCAGTTGTACAGTCAGGAGCTAGGAGAGTTTGATGTTTCTTTAAAACTAACGAATGCTATATTATTAATAGAACAATGATATTAAAGTTGTCTGTCTGTCTTCTCAGGGAATAACCTCCTATAGAAGTGTGTAGGAGTTCTACACAGAAGGAATTTTAAGTGTATTATCAAGCTAAAGATTTCATGTTCTCTTCTCTAGTATTTACCATAGTTAATAAAATTTATTTCATTACATTGAAATACTTGACTCTAGTAAGTTTCCCATGTATGCTTTCAAATTTGTGACTTCTCAGAAAATCACTTAGCATTTTCTTTTAACATTTGTATAATAGCTCTTTTCTAGTGTAAATATGATGTTGAAGAGCTTTAGAATAAAATGTTTTCCCACTTTTTTCCCTAAGGTTATTTAAATAAGTTTTTTATGACAGTCTCAAATTCAGCTACCACTGGTTTGCTAATGTTATATCTTGGTAGAACATTGGATTTGCCTTAATAAGTAAACCACTGATGTGGATATAGTCCTTACAATGAAGCACAAGAGAAAATAGCCTTATTTTTCTATCCTGTCCTTAGTGGAGAAATAACAATTATTTCCAGTAGACTTTAAGGAAGAATAGTAAAACAGTAAAAGCATATTAAACAGTATAAGTATTCCTATGGAAGAAAATATGAGGAAAGATGACTTTTTAACCAAATGCAAATTAATGGTTAATTAATCTGATGTAAGACAGAAATATTTTCCGACATAAAATTCAGGAAGCTGAGATAACATTATTTATTTAATATACTTAATTATTTGCTGCTAATTTTATGTGATATATTTAATTTCTCTGCTTTCCATATATGCACATAGAATAAAACAACTTTTTTTTTTCCTGGATTGAAATAGACTATAGTGTCCCTGGTGCTTAATAAGGGTAGCATAATGTCAAAAATTATATCGTGTTACTATGTTCCATAGTCACGAAATCATGATTATTATGGCAAAACTTTATTCATCTCTAAGTGGAATTTAATTCACTTTGTAATTATTTAATCCCTTGCTAGCCATTTTAGAATATGTGCTCTTTCATTGCAGTATCTACATTCTTTTTTAAACTTCTTTAGATTATTGTTAAACATCTAAATTAATGACAGTTTTTCAAGTATGGTAATGTTTTCATTTTCTTTTTACATGGCTTTCTCTTTATTTTTTACAGATTTTTATGAATTCTATTGTAGAAAATATAAATAACCTGTCATGGAATATCTAAAACATGCTGTTAGATAATAATCTGTGTGTCACTCTAGAATTATAAATCTTTCTAAAAGTAGAAAAATCTCCTCCATCAAGGTTTTCGAGAAGAAGCATGATTAAGTGGGGAAAGCATGTGTTTTCAAGTCAGAGGAAACTAGGTTAAAAAATCCAGTTCAGCTACGTATTTACTTTGTTGCCTTGGAGCAATTACATGACCTTTCTAATTTATAACTTCTTCATCTGCAAAATGGGGCACGATACTATCTTGGCAAGGGTATTGTGAGGGAGGAGAAGATGTAGATAAAATACAAAGTAGGTGTTCGATAGTTTAGTAATTCTTTTTTGACTTCTTTGTTGAGACAAATCAAACCATAAATATGAAATTGTAAATGTTTTACATTTTTCTCTAGGAATACGGGGTGCTTTGCATTCAGGAATACAGAAAAAACAACAAAGTGGAGTCAAGTACACTTAACAGCTTCATGGGCTTGAAGGATCACCTGGGGCACGACCTTGGCCACCTGTATGTGGAGAACACTGATTCACAGTTAAGTGTAGCTGTACCTTGGTCAACGGTAGATAAACCAACAATGGATACAGTTAACGCTGGAAAGGATGAAAAAGAGGTGTCCGAAGAGAATGCAAGCTCTGGTGACTCTGAAGAAAGCACTAATTCTGATCATGAGTCAGAACAATTGAGTAGCATTTCAGTAGAGCCATGCTTATTAACCAAGACTCACAGACAACTCTGTAGGTCTCCCTGTTTAGAGCCTCACATACTCAAGCGCAATGAAATTTTGCAAGACTTTAAACCCGAAGAGTCCCAGACTACATCCAAGGAAGGGAAGAAACCCCCTGATGTGGTACGAGAATACCAAACAAAACTGGAGTTTGCACTTAAGTTAGGTTATTCTGAAGAACAGGTTCAGCTCGTGCTAAACAAACTTGGTACAGATGCTTTAATCAATGATATTTTGGGAGAACTTGTCAAACTTGGAAATAAAAGCGAGGCTGATCAAACAGTTAGTACTATTAACAGTATAATGCGGGAAACATCTTCCCTGGAATCTCAGCGGTCTGAATCTCCAATGCAAGAGATCGTAACAGATGATGGTGAAAATCTGAGACCAATAGTTATTGATGGCAGCAATGTGGCAATGAGGTAAGTGGGAAAATCTTTGCTGAAAATTATTACCAACTGATCTTTAAAAGTTATTTCTGATGTTGTAGCTATTTTCCTTTGACAGTCATTAAGGCCAACATAATTCTGTATCCCAATATTAGCTTTAGAAAGCATTGGTTTCCACTCTCTCCTTTCAGGGCACACAGCCATCTTCACCTCATTTGTACCTGTGTAGAGACCCCCATTTTTCAAGAGATGTCTCTTTTTTTCTCATGTTGCTAAATTACTATGGTATGAAAATTAGTGTGTGTTCCTGGTTTAGTGTTAATCACTAGTTTGAAATGAAGAACTTGAATATGATGATATTCAACAATTTCGGAATCTAGTCAAATAGTCCATTTAATCTGGAGTTGAAATAACCGTAGGAAAAAACCCTAATTCTTCTAGACATAAACTATTTGTTTTATTAATTTGAGAATAAATCAGAGCTAGCGTTCGAAGTGTTTTGCTCCATTCAAATGCAATTCAAAAATAATTCTTTAGGAGCTAGGGGGAAAAAGAAACTAAAGTCAAACATCTAATGAAATTTTGTTTTTTGATGAATTTTGGTGGCTCAAAATTTAAAGCATACCCAAATTCAATCAGTATATAATTAACTGCCCACAGTGTTCAGAGCACTGTGAGGATTAAAAGATTTATGTATAAAAGTATCAGTTCATTTTCTGGAGAGCTTAGAGTTTCATATATTGTTTCTCAGAAAGTGATCTGAGGATGCCTAGCACAGAATCATCTGGGGACCTTGTTAAAAATGCCAATTCTATAACAGGGCTGTTCAGTGGAAATGCAATGCAAACCATGTATGTCATATTAAATTTTCTAGTACCTACATTAAAAAGGAACAGGTAAAATTAATGTGAATAATATATTTTATTTAAGCTAATATATCCAAAATGTCATTCTAACATGTAATCAATTTTAAAAAGCTATTAAGGAGCTTCTGCTTTATTCTTTTGATAATTAAGTCTTTGAAATTGGCTGTGTATTTTACCTTTATAGTACATCCGTAGTCAGAATAGCTACATTTTAAGTGCTCAGGAGCCATATGTGGCTATTGGCTACCATTTTGGGCAATGTAGTTCTAGAGCCCCACAAAGACCTACCAAGTCAAGTTCAAAGTGTAGCCCAGGCATCCTTTTGTAAGAAGTATTCCTTTTGGCTGGGCTCAGTCGCTCACGCCTGTAATCCTAGCACTCTGGTAGGCCGAGGCGGGCAGATCGCTCAAGGTCAGGAGTTCAAAACCGGCCTGAGCAAGTCCCTGTCTCTACTATAAATAGCAAGAAATTAATTGGCCAGCTAAAAATATATATAGAAAAAAAATTAGCCGGGCATGGTGGCGAGTGTCTGTAGTCCCAGCTACTCTGGAGGCTGAGGCAGAAGGATCACTTGAGCCCAGGAGTTTGAGGTTGCTTTGAGCTAGGCTGATGCCACAGCACTCTAGCCCAGGCAACACAGTGAGACTCTGTCTCAAAAAGTAAAAATAAAAAAGTATTCCTTTTAATACTGATGTGAACTGAAATTTGACAACTATTGTTTAATACTAGGTTATAGCAAGTTCTTTCACATACAAGTATGAGGACCAACATGTAATCATCCAAATAGCCTTTTCAGATGGAGGCAGTATTATCTTGCATTTATAAGCAAATGAGACATGATTTAAATTACTTCCAAGGCAAAACATAATTTTAACCCAAATATGGCTGACTTCAAAGTCTATACTCTTCATCATGTAATGAAAGGGAAAAAATTAACTTGAAAAGATTCAAGCAGGATCTTACAAGGCCTTGAATGCTAAGCTAGAGAATTTTAATGTGGCCCTGTCATACAACGATGCTTGGGGGGGTTTAAGGAGAGTAGTGTCAAAAGTAGAGTTGTGCCTTATGCTGATAATTTTGCAGTGATGTATAGGAGGTAGGAGATCAATTTGGAGCAAATAACTGTATCATAGATATATGCCTATGGATTTGAGAAGACCTACAATAAGATTATCTCTCTGTTTGATTTTTCCCAAACTTGTCTCCAAAATGATTTTTTTATTGTAATAATCCATAACTACTTTATGATTGCCTAGTGATAATATGTAAGGCCAAAAGCCATGAAATGGCCAAAGGAGAGAGTAGTGAGGGAAGGTCATAGGTCTTGAGGAATACCTGCAATTATGGCTATATATCGGAATTACCAGAGGAATTCTTTAAAAAATACATCTTCCAGCATTCTACTCTTGTGGAATATAGAATTAGTGTCTATCTGCATATACCATTAGTTTAAATTCACTTATTTCTGTAAGTGAATCCAGTGCTTTTTAAATTTCCTTGTGGTTTTAGGTTCAGATGACTTGTCATGTCTTTAAGAAAGTACAATCTTGTGAGCCATTGGAGGTGGGAGTATGATAAGTTGGTGTTAGAGCCCTTTGATTCCTAAAAGTGTTTGATTTCTTCATTATGCTTCCGTGACTTAGTCAACTGACTTCATTACAATTAACTAGTGACTTGGTCAACTGACTTCATTACAGTTAACTAAATCTCCATATCCTATTTTAGCTTCTGCCAAAATTTATAAAAAATGAGAATGGTGAAAGAAAAACCCAGAGCCTTATCATTATCTCTACATCATGCTGTAGCACAGATTCTCCTGCTTAGTGTTGGAATGGAAGCTGGCACGCCAGACTTTTGTTTTTTATAAGAACAGACTACTGAAACTTCCTCCCTCTACCTCCCATCATTGCAAATCCTCCCTCTTGGTCAGAAAATGCAGGTTTCTGGAGTTAGATTTAATCTCCTGCTGGTGGGTAGGCTTTATTGGTGCATATTTGTGCAGAGCATTAGGAAAACTATTTAGTTCACTAATAGTCTCAGGTGAACCACTTTTGGCCAGAGGGATTCATGCTTGTATTGCCACTCTATTTGTGACAGGGAAACACTAGAAGAATGTAAAGGGAAAAGTAGCATAGTAAAATTTGCCTTTAGAAGAGATCACTCTTATAGAGAAATTTAGAGAATGGATTTGAGCACTAAAATTGGAGACAAGGAGACCTACTTACGTTTGAAAATATATGCAATGGTTAAATTGTGGACAACTCCTGGAAAAATATGTACTAAGAATATCATAGTTTTTGTATACCAATCAAATGGTACAGAATAGAGAAATAAACCAGCCATTTACTTGTGAGTTTATATTCAGCCCCCAAAGAAGACTCATGTTGGAGAGCAACTGGTGTTAGTACAAATCCAAATGTTAACTGGAATGTAGAAAAATACTCCAGGTAATTCACTGAAGTAATTTTCTTAATGTTTGAACAGAAATCAGATAAAGATTATAGAGTCAGCACAATTCAGTATTGCAAGGATGTGGAAACAACCCAAGTGTCCGTCAATTCATGAGTGGATTATTAAAATTTGGTATATGTTTACAATGGAATATTACTCAATTCTAAGAAACGACAGCGAGCTGGCTATCGTTTGGTTGGTTTGCTATCCTGTTGCTTGTTTACCATTTAAGTACATCACTAATTTATAGTTAATAAACTCATCCTGGACACCTAGCTCAAGTGTTTGGTTTAAACTACAAGAGAGACTAAAAATTGCCAGCGTTCATTCAAATTTGTTTTACTATGCCACTTTTCCTTTGCTTAAATTCTTCTGGTATTTTGCTATCTCTAACAGAGAGGCAATGCAAGCATGGATCCCACTAGTCAAAAGTGATTCACCTCAGATTATTAGCAAACAAAACATTTATCCTGATGCTCTGCACAAACACGCACCAATAAGGCCTACTCATCAGTCAGGAGATTTAATCTAACGTTCAAATTATGTACGGTAGACCTGCATGATCCATTATGGTAACCACTAGCCATGAGGGGCTATTGAACTCTTGAAATATGTCTAGTCCAAATTGATTTATGGTATAAATGTAAAAAAAAAATACTAGATTTCCAAGACTTAGTACAAAAATATGTAAACTATTTCAATAACTTTTTATTGATTACATGTTCAAATAATTTGATATATTGAGTTAAATGAAATATATACTAAAATTAATGTCAACGGCTTTTTAAGTTTTTTTATGTGCTATGCTGGATAACTTAAACCTATATATGTGGTTCACATTATATTTCTATTAGCCTTTCACTGGAATGTTTCATAAGCCCCAATTTACTTGAAGTAATAATAATTAAAGGATAGCTTAAATTCCCTCTAGGTGAGTACCGCAGGTATTACTTATAGGTTAGTTGGCAGTGAGTGCCCCATTTCTTTTATTGTTTTTAAAGAAAATCCTTACAAGACCACATAAAGAATCAAGAAATCTGAGTTTGTTGTTGTTTAATTATATTAGTGTGGAGTCTGTCAAAAACAAACAGATATTACTGTTATTGTGTTAATAGACCAGTGGGCAATAAACTTTCTTATTATCTCAGGTATGGTAACCTGAGAAACAGCAACCTTAGTAATCCTGCTGTATATAAATAAAGTTCATCGAAGCTAACTAGTTTTACCAATTATAAGAAATGGGTAAAAAAATGTAATTTGAGTCCATGTTTTCTGCTTTTGTTAATAAGACCTTTTTACATCTACTAAATACGTCTTCATCATCTTCAGACTAATGACCCACTTGGATCTAGATTATCTAGATGTGCTTCCTATTATTAATTTTGGCTCAAATTATAAACCTTATAAGGTAAAGGAAATCTTTCTCCTTTCCTTTTTCCTCATCCCTTTCCAATTCTCAAAGCTACCTCTTATAATTATACTGCTATTATGTTCATATCCAACTGGAGGGTAGTAATTATTTCATATTAGACTTCTGTAGTAATTTTGGTGATGAATATTTTTGTTGTCCTAAATTAGTGCTTTTTCAGACTTTTATTTTCCTTTCAAGCAGTACAATCCTACAAATCTTGCATGGAAGCCCAGTATTTAAAACAAGCAAAAGCAGAGTTCTATTTGAATTGGGAAGTATATGCACAGCTATTTCCCACTTAAAAA